TATAAAAGAATAAAAAAACAGCTGACACTGTGGCACCGATCAACAAAACGATACAAGGGGTAAAAGCAGGAATTAAAGTGCTCTGTTTAGGCACCTAACAGCCTGTGGAAAGAAGCTGTTAGCATAGCGAGATGTCTTGCATCTCAGCGATCGATATCTTCTGCCAGAGGGAAGAAGCTGGAACATGGCTTTGAAGCTGTTAGCATAGCGAGATGTCTTGCATCTCAGCGACCGATATCTTCTGCCAGAGGGAAGAAGCTGGAACATGGCTTTCCCAGGGTGGCCAGAAGAGTCATTGATGATTTTAAGAGCGCTGTTTAAAAGTCTGGATTCATAAAGAACCTGCAGAACAGGAACCTCACAGCCCACGGTCCTCTTTGCAGAGCGGAGCACCTTGTTTAAAGCTCTCTTTTCTTTATCTGTGATGTTTCCAAACCACACAGACACAGAACCAACAAGTAAACTCTCAATGGTGCAGCGATAAAAGTTAAGCAGAATCTTAGAGTTAGTGGTAAATTCTCTAAGTTTCCGCAAAAAGAAGAGCCGCTGACGTGCTTTCTTAACGACCCGGTCAGTGTTTTTGTCCCATTTCAGGTCGTTAGACAGAGTTAAACCCAGGATCTATAAATATAACAGCGCCCAAGCTGTCTTTTTTTTTTTTTTTTTAAATACAATGTCACACAGCTATAATTTTTATTTCTCAAAGATGATTTTAATTGGTTGAGACAGAATCCAGTGTGAAAAAAAAGTCTGAATTTGCATGTCTGACATTTAGATGGATTAGATTTGTCTCCAGATCCTTCGAACGTGCAGTTTCTCTTACTCTTTGCGGCTGTTGTTGGTACATTGCAAAGAATTATAAAATATGAGGTAATGCATGCTTGAATTGAGTGGCTTTTATCTTAATTTGAGTACATTACGACTTGATTTGCCAATGGGACAAAGCCATTAAGTCTTATTTCAAGAATTGTTGCTTTATTTTCTCATTCCAAGGGAGACATTCCTTGTGTATTTTTCAAACATGATTATTTTGCTTTGTCCCATTGGCAAATCTTGTTTTAAAGCAGTCAAAATCTGCTCAAAAATCATGTACATTTTGCCCAACTTGAGCAAGAAAAAAAATGTCATCACTTTTTGCAGCGTACACAGCTCCTGATCCTGACGAGCCTCTTCCTCCGCTTTCCGTCGGGTCGCAGACAGTAATGGTCGGAGTGGCACAGTTCTTGTTGACAGAAGTGAAGAGACAGCTTTGGATCCACTGTAATTGTCATGTCAAAGAGCAAAAAGTACATTTTGTGGAAAGACATTTTTTTTTTCTTTTCTTTTTCTTGAAATGTCTGCAATCGAGTGTACTGACAGGATACCATTTTTCACCCAGACACCGCAACCGCGAGGCCCACACCAAAACATACGGGCAGGTACAATACATCACCTCTGCAATTACAGCAAATCTCTGTTGAGAGGTTAAATAAGGTCAAACACTTTTCATTATCTGATTGATGGTGATGAGAGTTCCCTGAAGAAAAACAACTTCTACAACACACTTCACAAATGGACTTTTCACACTGGATGGACTTTTTTGACCATGTTATAGTTGTTGTCCCTTGCACTTTACAAATTTTTTCTCTCTCCCTTGACTCCTCTCGCCACCGCCTTAAAGACATACCCACTGTTTTGAATGATTTTGTCGGTCTTTCCTATGTACTAGGACTCACATCATTCTGATCTCGTTATTTTGACTGCTCCCATTAAATTCCCTTAAAGAATAGTTTGTCACCAGATTCATTAAAAGAAAATTATGTATAAGGGATCATAATTTATAAAACTTGTCTTTATAACTAAAAACACAGCACAATAAAGGAAAATGCTAACTTCTGACACTAAACAGTGTGTTGCTATGGTAATTAGCACTTGGTATTCCCTGGTGGAAAATGTGTTAAAGGTCGAACTCCTCACGTTTCAGAAGTAAAATAAAATAATAATAATAAATTACTTCAAAGCTATGAAGACCAAGAATGCAGCTGTAATTTTTGCCGTGGGGCCATTGATGTGTGTTTTACTGACTGTAAAAGGGGCAGAGAGCAAACCCATACGGCGGGATTGGATTTGTGTCTTTCGTAACATTGCTTTGACTCTGTGAACAAAGCTGCTGCTGCTACACAAAAGGGAGGGAGGAGGAAAGAGAGGCAGAAAAAAAATCACTAATTAGGCAAAATTGGATACACTTCTATGCCAATTTTTCAAGGCCCGTACAGTATATTGTTACATACATATAGCAGAACGACGCCTGTTTTATCTTTGAAACGATCATACCATCACAGGTTCTAACAAAAACCGAGACACATTCCTGCTTTATCGTCTGAAATACATGTAATCGACTCTCGGATCAAAAGATAGAAAAGATAACAAAACCATTCATTGACTGATTGAGATGCCGTGACTCGCGTGGCTTTGCAAGGGACGAAGATTATCAATAGGTCAGCATTTGTGGATGTGCTGAGGTCTGTTTGATAAGGAGATGGCGTTTGATAGCGAGGCCCGCTGGACAGTTGTTGGGTATTAATGAGGCTCAGTGTGAATTATTCATGCACATCGATACCGTCTCATTTCTAATTTGGACGGATATGCCAGGCAAACGTTGGTTTTTCAGCAGGTCTTTGTATATAGCACCGGCTTCGCCTCATTCATTTTTAATTTAGCGAAACGTGCCTCACAGATAGATCCACGGCAAAGCAACTGTAAATAACGTCTTCATCCGCCGTCAGACAAACCCGTGCCCTTTTAATACGCAATAACATCTGTGTGTGCGTATGAGTTCAAACCAGAAAGGGCAAATATGTGAGATTCTGATCTTGCGATATTCCCCCGTATTTCCATATTTGTTTCTATTTCGGGCTGCTTTCCTCTTGCTCTGTTTTTTTTTTGTTTTTTTTTTTCTGGGGTTTGTGTAAATCACCAGGCATCGCACAAACCGGGAGCGTAGATTGGAGGAGAAATGAGAGTGTGCCGACTTGTGCCAGATTTGGGCGCTGCAGGTGTCATGCTGATTAATGTCTCCCAGTGGTCCCCAGTACAAAACCTGAGCCTCCTTGTTGTGGGAGAACGGGAAGGATGAGGAGGAGGACTGGGATAATAACCTCTAACCAAATTCAGCAAAACACATTCCAAGGTATTCTCTCTGAAGCTGCACTACAAAATCTTCCTGGTTGAGGCTTTGTTAATTATTTTTTAGCTTGGGTCATAAAGTGTTGTTGTTTTGCCTGTAATGTTCACAGCTTGGCGAGTTTATATCATACTGAGGGAAGTTGCAAGGAAAGCAATAACATTCCCATAACAACAAGCCGGGAGCAGACTCCATCAGAAATGTTGTGTGTTAGCGATATTAGAGGGTATAGCTCGGAATTTTTGGTGGACTGGAAGATAAAGAAATGTAAGTGCTTGAATCAGTTGGTCATAATCTTGAATTGAGTATATTTTCACACAAGTTTTGCCAATGGGACAAGCCGTTCAAGTTTTATTTTTAAGTGTTATAATGTGTTTCTCAAGGACATTTTTTTTTTTCTTAAATTCTTTGTCTCTTCAAAAACAATAACTTATGCTTGTGTCATGAGGTGAAACAAAGGAAGGACCCAAAATGTAGACATTTCAAACAAAATAGAATTTGATGATGGTAAATAAAAGTCAAAAATCTGACAAAACAACAGAAAACGACGGATGAAACACTTGAGGGCGGGGCAGACAATCAACAGGGGACTGGTCAGGAAGTAAAACTAAAACACAAACACAGGAGAACTAATGTAGATAAAACTAGGTACAAAAAGAACAAAATCCACACCCTGGCAATTTGTCCTAATAACAATATTTTTGACATATTTGTTGTCATTTTTTGCTGTCAATGGACATCCAGGTTGGTTTATCATGACATTCTGATGATTTTTCCACGGCTCCAGTGTCTTGAAAAAGAAATTCAAAATACATTGTTACCATTGACCGTATTTTAGGAGAGGACGATATGACATAAGCTAGCCGAAGCCAATTTCCTCATATGGGCATTTGTTCCGACGGTGTTAGCTTTTTGAGCTGAAGTCATCTGATTGGTCCTCATTTATGGCTCTTATCTACACAATGGCAATAATATATTATAAACAACAAGATCATAGCGAGCGCAAAACCAGCCTTTTTAAGCCCAAACAGTTACTGAGCGAGAGGAGGTCACTTTTAAATGTAAGTTAAAGGAATGAGTTGGAGCAAAACTTTGTCCATGAGCACTTTATCCTAAGTACATTCTGACGAAGATTTACCGATGGGTTAGCTTTTCGTCTTCTTTCAAGAACTGTTGATTATTGATTTTTATTGAGCACTGTTTTTTTTTTTGAGCATTGTATCGTACAGCATATTTCCTGTGTGACAATAAAGTGTATCTTATCTTGTCTTTATTTTTTTTTCTCATTTCAACGGGGACATTTCTTGTATCTAATTTAAAACAAGATAATTGTGCCCGTTCCATTTGCAAATCGCGTTTTAAGACTGTCAAAATGTGCTCAGATCAAGACACATTCTGCAGATTTTGAGCCATTTTTGACTTGTTTTTCATCACATTTTGATTTGCACCATTTGAAATAGTTCCGAGGCATACATCTGCAAATGATCTTCCAAGCCTTCCAAGCCTAAAAATAAAACGTGAAGCTATTTCAGTCCCCTGGTGTTTCATTTTCACTTTTCAAAGAACATGTTAAAAGAGGGTGCAGCCAAGGTCGTTAGAAAGAGTCAAACATCAAATATGTCAAAAGTATGAATACATAGAAAGGCAAAACTTGGCACAATGAAATGGCAGGAAAATATGACTTGCTTATCTGCAGTAGATGGACTGTTTTATGATTTTCAATTATAACTATACCTTATGTGTGAGTTATCCTGTTCGTAAATTGTGCCATCCAAATAATCTTGTCTTAGTCTTGTGGGATAAAAGTCATGTGTTTTTTTTGTTTTGTTTTGTTCAGACATGGGACTCGCTGCGCTGGAGAAGTCGCTGCTGTAGCAAACAACGACGTGTGTGGAGTGGGTGTGGCCTACAACGCCAAGATCGGTGGTGAGTGAAGGCCTCCCAGTGGTTTTTACAATCCATACTACAACTAACTTTAAGATTAAAATTAAGAAATCCTATATTCGTCCCGCAGTGGGGACATTTCTGTGTTGCATCAGTAGGAATGAGGAGCACACCGCAGATAAATGAACAATCACTCTAAAATAGATTGAAATAAAATAAAATCTCTAACTTTAGCAAAATAGCGAAGCAAGTATGAGATTTCTAGCTTTAGCATAATAAGGAATCAAATCTGAAATCAACAATTTTAGGATCACAAAGATGCAAGAATTATGTATGAAATCTGTATCTTTAGCATTATAAGGAAGAAAATGTAAAATCTATATTAATACCATAATTAAGAAGCAAAATTTCTGACTTTCTCTGACTTTCTATAAAATCTCAGTAGTATAAATTCTTTAGCTTAAGCCTTCATTGGGAAGTCCTATGCTTTTATAATAATTTTAAAGATCAAAAAATGTAGCCGATTGTATATTAAGCTGGTGTCACTATTTCTAGGAGTCACTGCTCATGCTAGCTATTGAAACCACCAGATTCCAATGTGCTATTTTTGCACTGTTTTTTGTTGGACAAGGTCAAGAGTGATGGAGGCTCGCCGCTAGTTTGTCCCGTGTGGTTTTCACATTGCTGTCTGTAATCTCTCAAGTCTATCCATCCATCCATCCATTTTCTACCCTTTAATCCATTTCTGGGTCAGGGGGGTGGCAATCAGAGATGCCACCCAAGTCTCATAGCACCAGCCCCTCACTGACCCTCTGCAGGTGGTGAGTCCACAGGAGGACGGCTGCTCTCTGAGTGTGAGCATAGCCTTGATCTTTCAGTGGGGCTTTGGGCAAAGTGGGGTTAAGTGTCTTGCCCAAGGACACAACGACAGCAGTCATCAGTGGGAGTCGGTGGAGAAGGTGTAGAGGTGGGAATTGAACCCACGACCTTCTGGCCTTAAGGCCAATGCTCTACCACAGTGTTTTTCAACAGCTGTGCCTCGGCACACTAGTGTGCCGTATCACTTTGTCTGGTGTGCCGCGAGAAATTAATCTACTTTGTCTAAAAATAGATGCATCCGCAAATGATGTGCCAGCGAGTGCTGTCTTGTTGTGACTGGTAACCATGTAATACTTTTTCATATCAGTAGGTGGCAGCAGATAGCTTATTACTTTGAGACATTAGAAGTAGTGCATGGATGAGACCACAGGATGTGACAGGTAGCGGGGACAGAGGCATTGTGGCTAGCGAGACGTGACAGTGATGGAGAAGTTTTTGAAAAGAAAAGGTGCCATATCCGAACTGGACCCTGGACAAAATCTGGACCCAGGTGAAGGCCCAAGTATGAGTGGCGGTAAAAAGAAAGACAATTGCGCAAGGCTATACAACGAAAACTATCTTTCATTTGGATTTACTTTCACCGGGGATGCACTGAAACCGAGTCCGTTGTGTTTGGTGTGTGGTGAAAAGCTATCCAACAGTGCTATGGTCCCAAGCAAGCTTAAACGCCATCTGCAAACGAAACATTCGTCGCTTCAGAACAAGAATGTGCACTATTTTTCTCGGCTGCGAGAACAAACAGAGAAACAGGCAACTTTCATGAAAAAAAAAAAAAAAGTTAACGAGAAGGCACTTAAAGCTAGTTACCACGTTGCTGAACTTGTAGCTAAGTCAAAAAAGTCGCACACTGTGGCAGAGACATTAATACTTCCCGCTTGCAAAGCCATTGTTAATGAGATGCTCGGACCAGAGGCAGCTAAAGAAATAGCTAAAGTCCCTCTCTCAGATAACACCATTTCCAGACGTATTAATGACATGTCTGCAGACATTGAAACTATTGTTTTGGAAAAAATCCGCATCAGTAAGACATTTGCACTGCAGCTTGATGAATCCACTGATATTAGCGGGCATGCTCAACTTCTGGCCAATGCACGTTTTGTGGATGGAGACGTAATCATAGAAAACTTCCTCTTTTGCAAATCACTGCCAGAAAAAACAACAGGAGAGGAAATATTTCGGGTCACGTCAGAATATCTGGAGCAAGGAGGACTTAAGTGGGAAAACTGCATAAGTGTCTGCACTGATGGAGCTGCAGCCATGCTCGGGCGCACCAAAGGCTTCGTAAGCAGAGTGAAGGAGAGAAATCCAGCTGTTATTGTTACGCACTGTTTTTTACATCGTGAGGCCCTCGTAGCCAAGACTTTACCAGCAGATCTTGTGCCTGTGTTGGATGATGCCGTGCGCATTGTAAACTTTGTGAAGTCACGACCCATGAAATCCCGCATATTTGCATCTTTGTGTGAGGCAATGGGAGCAGAGCATAAAGCCTTGCTGTTTCATACGGAGGTGCGCTGGTTGTCGCGCGGCAAGGTCTTGGCCCGTGTGTATGAGCTGCGGGAGGAGCTTAAAGTGTTTCTGATTAACGAGAGGTCCGACTCCGCAAAACTGCTTGCAAGTGATGAGTGGTGCGCACGGCTGGCATACCTGGCAGACATTTTTCATCATTTGAATGAACTTAACACACGAATGCAAGGCCGAAACGAAAACCTTCTCACAAGTACAGATAAAATAAATGGATTTCGTTCAAAGTTACATCTCTGGCAGGAACATGTGGAAAATGGGAATCTTGAAATGTTCACACTCACCAAACAATGGCAAGATGTAAACACAAATGCATTGTGTGATGTAATAGTTAATCATTTAAAAAGTCTTGAGGAGAGGATGTCATTTTATTTTTCTTCAGCCTCCACTGAAAACCTTGACTGGGTTAGGGACCCATACAGCTCAGCATCAGTTGGGGGAATGGACATGACTTTACAGGAGCAGGAGGAACTAACTGAACTGAGACAAACCCGTGGTTTAAAGCTAAAATTTGCAGATCTACCTTTGGACAGTTTTTGGTTGGCTACTGCCAAAGAGTTCCCCATTCTGGCAAACAAAGCTATTTTGACATTGCTCCCATTTTCAACCACTTATCTGTGTGAGGTGAGCTTTTCAAGCCTGACTGCTATAAAGACTAAAAACAGAGAAAGACTGAGAGCTGTTGAGGAAGACCTTCGTGTGTGTCTTTCTTCTATTCCTGCCAGGATATCAGTTCTGTGTTCATCCAAACAGGCACAGGTTTCACACTGAGTGAGTAGAATTATAATAATGATCAAAATAATGTTTTCTTTGTGTTCATGTCTATTAAAAACACTTTGATGAGAACTACTGTAAATTGTGGAGTATATATTTTTAAATTTTCTCCTAGTGGTGTGCCTCGAGATTTTTTCAATGAAAACAGTGTGCCTTGGCTCTAAAAAGGTTGAAAAACACTGCTCTACCAACTGAGCTACTGTCGCCCCCCTCTCTCTCTCTCAAGTCTGTGATGCTCTAAAAGAAAGCTCAACATTCTCCAAGTGCTGTCTGTGTCTAGTTTTAGATGTACCAGTGCTAAGTTACTGCAGTTAGATCACCAATAATGTGAAAAAACCTACATACAGTGATTCAGAACGTTCAGAAGCGCTTTACAATGTTCGCTATAGATCTAAACCACACAGACCTTCAGCAGCACCAACAGTATTAGTAGCAGCAGTAGCATTAGTAGTAGTAGCAGCAGTAGCACCAGCAGTTGTAGTAGTAGCAGCAGTAAAAATAGTAGTAGTAGAAGCAGTAGTAGCAGGAATAGCAGCAGCAGAAGTAGCAGCAGCAGAAGTAGCAGTAGTAGTAGCAGCAGCAGTAGTAGCAGCAGCAGGAGTAGCAGTAGCAGTAGCAGCAGCAGCTGCAGCAGTAGTAGTAGCAGTAGTACCAGTAGCAGCAGCACCAGCAGTAGCAGCAGGAGTAGTAGTAGCAGGAGTAGCAGGAGTAGTAGCAGCAGTAGTAGCAGCAGAAGTATTAGCAGCAGCAGCAGTAGCAGTAGCAGCAGCAGTAGTAGCAGCAGTAGCAGCAGCAGCAGCAGCAGGAGTAGTAGTAGCAGTAGTAGCAGCAGTAGCATTATGGTATCAGTGTCAGAAATGTTTTATTACCATTGTCAGTGACCAGAAAATCACAAATCTCTAACATTTATGGGCCAATTACAATTGTTAAAATAGTAGAAAGAAATGATAATGATAGCAAAAGACATGTTTCTGTTACTAATTTGAGGGGGGTTCAGAGCTGGGGCAACCTTCAAGAAATGATGCTATCCTCTGAGGCTGTCTTTTGCTTGTGGCCTTCTGTGTATCCAAGATAAATGTATTTTTGGACCGTTAATTTTTAATACTGGTTTAATAATTACACCTACACCTCCCGAGTGCTGGCTCTCTGACATTTTAACAGCATTCTTTACACCATGACGTTGCGGGAAGAGGTCAACATTCTGGTCTCAAACACACATTTCCATCCATCCATCCATCCATTTTCTTCCGCTTTATCCGTTGCCGGGTCGCGGGGGCAGCAGTCTAAGCAGAGACGCCCAGACTTCCCTATCCACACACACTTCCTCCAGCTCGTCCGGGGGGACCCCAAGGCGTTCCCAGGCCAGCTGAGAGACATAGTCTCTCCAGCGTGTCCTGGGTCTTCCCCGGGGCCTCCTCCCGGTGGGACGTGCCCGGAACACCTCCCCAGGAAGGCGTCCAGGAGGCATCCTGAACAGATGCCCGAGCCACCTCAACTGGTTCCTCTCGACGTGGAGAAGCAGCGGCTCTACTCCGAGCTCCTCCCGTGTGACTGAGCTCCTCACCCTATCTCTAAGGGAGCGCCCAGCCACTCTGCGGAGGAAGCTCATTTCGACCGCTTGTATCCGCGATCTCGTTCTTTCGGTCATTACCCAAAGCTCATGACCATAGGTGAGGGAGGGAACGAAGATTGACCGGTAAATCGAGAGCTTTGCCTTTCGGCTCAGCTCCCTCTTCACCACAACGGTCCGATACAGCGACCGCATCACTGCGCACGCTGCACCGATCCGCCTGTCAATCTCACGCTCCATCCTCCCCTCACTCGTGAACAAGACCCCGAGATACTTGAACTCCTCCACTTGAGGAAGGACCTCTCCACCCGCCTGAAGAGGGCAAGGCACCTTTTTCCGGTCGAGCACCATGGCCTCGGATTTGGAGGTGCTGATTCTCATCCCAGCCGAGTGCGCACTCGGCTGCAAACCGTCCCAGTGCATGCTGCAGGTCCTGGTTCGTTGGAGCCAGCAGGACGACATCATCCGCAAAAAGTAGAGATGAAATCCTGTGGTTCCCGAACCGGACCCCCCCCCCTGAAACACACATTTCATCTCCAGTAAATGTGTGCAGTGGCAGGTGAACGGATTCAAGGGGGAAACAGAATCACTGGTTTTATACAGGATTTAAAGGAGCAGTATCTAAGAATCTGGCCAAAAGTGGTACTGCAACCTCTCTCACTCTCCCTAACTTAGGTTGCCAGATATGCAGGTGAATCCAGGTGGGGAACATAATGTCTGAATAGTTTTGTCAACAACAAATCTATAGCAAACACCTTTTTCACAAAGGCCCCATAGAAATCCTCATTTTGTTATGAATAATTTGAGAATCATGACAAGACCTTCTTGATACTGCGGCCACATGGGTTAGTTACTTTACTGACGGCGGCACGGTGGCTGAGTGGATAGTACTCTCAGCAAGAAGGTCCTGGGTTCAAATCCCGGTCGGAACTGGGTCTTTCTGAGTGGAGTTTGCATGTTCTCCCCGTGTCTGCGTAGGTTTCCTCCGGGTGCTCCGGTTTCCCCACCACTAAAAAAACATGCACAATAGGTATGAATGTAAATGAGAGAGCGAATGGATGGTGTTGATTGGGGGCTGATGCGCCAGTGTGTTCGGTGACTCGCTTCCGTCATCACCGTGTGTGGAATAATTGGAATGATCTGAACTTTGTAAAGCACTTTGAGTGACCTTGGTCTGTAAAATGCGCTACAGTATATAAATAAACATCACTTACTTACTTACTTAGTTACTTACTGAGATTATCTTAATCTCCGCAACCCCGGATCACAAAATTTCTGATAGGTAAAACGGAGGAGGGCGGGACATCGATATGAAAACAATAACAAGATTTAGGGACTGTAAAACTATTTTTGAAGTTCGAATATCTCGGCTAAATTACTGCTATTAGTTGAAGAAGTATTCGAAAAGAGCATGATTTATGAATACTTTTTGACATATTAGGCCCATTCAATGATGGCTTGACATGAAAATAGTAGTAATAGTAGTAATCTTTAGTAATCTTTATTTATATACCGCCTTTTCACTGCACATAGGAGTCTCAAAGCGGTTTACAATTGTTATTTTTTTTAGGGCATTTGTCTCTCACTCCACACAGAGATGGGAGCGGGGTCGCCAGTACAGGAGGCGCATGCCAGACCTATTGTACATATTTTTAGTGGTAGGGGAAACCGGAGTACCCGGAGGAAACACGGGGAGAACATGCAAACTCCACTCAGAAAGGCCCTGGTCCAACCGGGATTCGAACCCAGGACCTTCTTGCTGAGAGGCAAGAGTGCTATCCACTCAGCCACCGTGCCGCCCAAATCTTACATATTGCTACTTTAAAGAATGGAACTGGCATCTAGGCGGAGGTCTGTACTATATAGTGCATTTTTAACTGTTGTTATCATTAATTACCATAGCCAAGCCGTACACCGTTCAAATGGATGTTTTTGTCATTACTGCAAAGTTATACAAGTTTGTGAAAATGATCCAGTTTCTGACAAGTTGATTCTCCGTCCACAACCCCACAGGGAGTCCTCCTCTCTTCGCTCCTCGGCCTCCTGGGGAGCAGAGCAGCGGCTGTGTCTATTTGGATACAGTATGTCATGTGTTGCCAGGGATTCTACTGAGATCTGCTCTGACCATTCTCCTTTTGAAAACTTAGGTCTGGTAGTAAAAAAAAAAAAAAAAAGGATGTAACACGGGTCTTTTCTAGAGTAATTATTCTGTTTCTGGTTTGAATGTCTAATTGACCACTCACAGATCCACCCCCAGCGCCGCCGCCTCGTCCGTCCACCTACACTGTGTCTGAGATGGCTTTGCTGTAGCTGCAGGGAGCTCTTCAGTGGTTTAATAACGCGGCTAGAATCAGCGAGAAGTTGATGAGAATTGTATTGGTTGTGATTAGTGTTTGAGGCTGCAATAAGGACGTAACGATCGGAACATTGGACAGTTTGTTGTGGAGGACTTTACTTTTTTTCTTATCTGTATTTTTTCTTATTTTTCCACCAACAAATAATGAATGAAGCTTGAGAGAAAAGATCTGTGGTGTCTGAATATTCTTTTGCTTATAGGGCGGCACGGTGGCTGAGTGGATAGCACACTCTCCTCTCAGCAATATGGTCCTGGGTTCAAATCCCGGTCGGAACAGGGCTTTTCTGAGTGGAGTTTGCATGTTCTCCCTGTGTCTGTGTAGGTTTCCTCTGGGTGGAAGGAATAGTCATTAACTCAATCCTTTTATGCTATATTTACTACACATTTGATTGACATTATTCCAGGATTTCATTTGTAGGTCTATGAATCAACTGAGCTCGTCTTTTATCATTCGACAAATAATATTGTAAAGTGTATACAACTTTTTCATATTTCCTGTGTCTCCCTAAAGTTAAGGCATACATTTTTTACAACATAATAAAAAATTTCAAGAAGCCAAAATGGATTAATTTGGTGTAAATAGAGACAGGGTGGCGCTTTACTGAGGTAGTTTTTAGTTTTTGTTTTGCCCTCCACTTTCATCACCTCTCCTCTTACATGATGTGCTTTGTATGTGAATGTGTAAGTGTATACATATATTTTATATGTTTTTTTGGTTTGTATTTTTTTAATGTTTGATCCTTTTGTCAACTCTTCTTCATTAAAACTGCAGCTTTGTAGAACTATGATTTTACAACAGGTATTATCCCTTAGGAACCTGTCATATGCACTCTCATTTAAATACAATTATGTGATCTTCTCCCATATTCCACTCTAGTACAATCTGAAGCTCTGATTTCACACCATCTGTCCTTTCTCTCCACTTCCCGCGCTCTTGTTAAGAAAATGTGTTTTTCAGGTGTCCGCATGCTGGACGGGGATGTGACAGACGTGGTGGAGGCTCATTCCCTCAGTCTGAACCGACAGCACATCCACATCTACAGTGCCAGCTGGGGCCCAGAGGACGATGGCAAGTCTCTGGACGGTCCTGCCAAACTGGCCATGGAGGCTTTCCTGCAGGGAATCACACAGGTAGGACTGAGATGTGGTGTCAAAAAGCGAATTGTTAGCTTATTCTTGTGACAATAGGAGTGAAATCGTGGTCCCAGAATTGTCTACTCAATATAGTCTCAGCTCCACACTGTGCTCCTGCCATTGTCCGGCCTCTGTGTGGCTCTCAGTGACACAAAATTACACATTTTTTTCAGATTCATACAGGATTCAGTTGATTGACAAAAATACATAGATATACATACATTTTCCTCTTCACCCCATAGAGACCTGAAATGGAGTGGGAAGAAGTATGACTTATGAACTCCCACCCCATCTGCACACACATGTATTCACTTTAGCTGCCCGCTCAGTAACACAACTCTTTCAACAACAACAGCAACTATTATAAATTATATAGTATAGTATAATTACTGTGTGTCCTCATTATCGTCACCATCATCATGTTTATGTTCTATACAGTCATGAAGATTGTATTTTATTATTATTATATTCTACCAGGTACAGTCACATTTGTTTCCTTCTTTCTTCAACACACAATTCAACACAAGACAACAAATTCTAGTCTTTCCACAAAGCTTAAAACTCACACGGTTTTGATAAAAGCACTACAGGTGAAATTAGAATACAGGTAAAAAGTTAATTTACTTCTGTAGTCAAACTTCCAGAGTGAAAATAATATATCAGACTTATTAAACACACAGTCTGTATGTGTTATAGAGTTGGTAATTAGTGCACAGCTTGTGAAAACCCCAAATGAAACACCTCAGAGAATTAGACTATTGTGAACCATAATCATCAAACTTCAAAGGCAGAAATATAAAACAGAAATGTATTCACTTTTGAACAATATTCTATTAGATACCTGTTCCCTGGTAATGTTGATTCCAAGGTGTAATAAAAATAGGCTCTTTATAGACAATAACTGGAGGAAGTGTATGTGGACAGGGAAGTCTGGGCGTCTCTTTTTAGACTGCTGCCCCCGCTACCAGGCAACGGATGAAGCGGAAGAAAATTAATGGATGGATTGTTCTATATTACTATTATTATTCCATGACTCTCTTGAATAAGATGTTCTTAATCTCAATCGGACTTTTAAAAACTAAAAAATATACTAGTTTATACTCTATCTCAGCCATTCCCAAAGTCAGTAACACCCTTAAAAATCTTACGGGTCTGCGCGGCCCCCCGAAACAATAACCAAGAATGTTCTCGTTATTTTATTTGGGGGAAATCCACTCTGCTACAAACATGTAAATGACGCACAATTACAATTTGATTATTCAAGTCAAATAATGAACACAAATATTTTAATATTACAAACAAAATATTATTTATTTATCATACAATAATTATATAAAACATTTCCTTTTTTTTTATGACGTCTTGCGGCCCCCTGGTGAGCCGCGGACCCCACTTTGGGAGACACTGCTCTATCTGTATGGGTTTCAAATTCTAAAAAGTATTCTGAAACTGCTTCGAAAAGTTATTTTTGTATTGATACTATTGAGGCTCAAAGTAGTCTGCAGTTTTGAGACAGTTTAGAGACAAATGGGAGGAGAGCATTAGAAATAAGTTTAAATTTCAGGACAAAGTGAAGGTGACAAAATTCCAATTAGAGCAAGTGGAACCAAACGCGTAATTAAACGGAAAGACGTTATCTTTGCTAATGTCATCGTTTCTGGTGTGTCTCTGCACCACATCCACAGGTTTTGAGCAGAACCGGGCCATGATGAATGACTCTTATATAGGAGAAACTGAGCATGGTAATTAGAGTAGAAATGAGTAAAACTAATCATTTTTAAATTAATACATTTATCACATTCCAGATATAAAATGCTCCGCTACCAGCTTTCTTCAAGGGAGGGACTTAAGCATTGATGTTTTTTTTGCTGCATCAGTTGGACCCAGCAGAGATGACGGAAGTGGAGAATGATTTAGACATTTTAGATGCATGAGAGGCTACCACATTAGTCCTTATTTTGTTCTATGTCTGCTTCATTCTTTCTTGTGTAGTTCTTCCGTACACTTTAAGATTAAGATTTAGATAATTTAATCGTCCCACGGTGGGGAAAGAGCACACAGGGAACCTCAATGGAACCAGTGAGGGTGAATAAGTCTGTCACTGAAGCTACTCTCCAGAGCAGACAGAGAGAACAGTAGGACTGAGGAGCACACAACACAAGATAAATGAACATTAAGTCTATATTCAGTCTTCATAATTTACAAATACTATATGTTCTGGAGAGATGAGAAAGTCAATGCACTGTGGAGGGAATGCATAGAAATTGGATTCTGTTAGCAATGATTATTTAATGTGAACTACTCCATATTTAGCTCCCAGTGCTCGGAAGTATGGTGAATAAGTCCATTTTAATCCTCCTCTTAAGAGACTTAAAAAATGTATATATTTTAGATTATTTATCTCGATCCTGCTCAAGGCATTTTTTTCACATGCGTCAATATAACAGACAATTAGGTGCATGGTAAATGGGGTTGGATGAAGCAAATGTGAAGCTTATTTGATTCCAATTCCCCGTCACACATGCCACACAATACACTGCTATAATAATATCATGCAATGGAATTACAAAAGCACATAACTATACAGTACATACAGTAATACAATTGCTGATACTACCCCAAATTGTATAAAACAGACCCAACCAGTTACAATGAGTTGCAATTTATAAGACGTAAAAGTGACATTGTATCATAGAATTTCCCCAAAGGCCGTAAACCAAAAAATCGCAAAAAGATTTGTCCAAACCAAAGGACATTGAGGACGGATAGAATAGAAAGCAATGGATATATTTGTCTTTTGAACAGAATAATAGCAGGCTGACAACGGTACAAGCTCTGCAAAAACACTGCTCTATGTTAGTCCGACATGAAATACTGTTAGGTTTTGTGAAAGTAGTTCCTTCTTAAAAAACTTTCTTTTCAAACCAGAAAGAGAATTCACTATGTCAAATAATCCATCTATCTATAGTCACTCGCTCGTCACATCTTTGCATCAGATTTTGCAGACAGAAAAGTGAAAAAGGGAAGCCCAGTCAGTTCTCAGCCCATAGTCACTCACAAGGCTTTTTCTTAAACATATGCAAATAGATAAAGACAGAATTTGTGGTGTGATTGGACAAGATCCTTTCTGTCAAAGCGACGGACAAAATGTATTATGTCTGGAGGGGGAAAGTCCTGTACCCTGGCTTTAAACATGTCGACCAGGCAGAAGAAAATAACAGAATAACAGACCGTTTTGTAAAGGGGTGAAGCTACATTCTTTTTAAATGAAACCCCATTGTATCCTGGCCTCATTTGTAGCAGTTGCGGTTTAGTCTTTGCTGCTTCACTGCTTTCGCTTCTGCTGACTGCTATCTGCTGTATAGGGAATAAATTAAGCAAAAAGACTAAATATTTAGCTTCGAACTTTAAATCTACAAACTGAAAACCGGACAAAAGTGAACCAAAACACAAAAAGACGTCTTCTACTCTGAAAGTTTTCTTCTTATTGTTGGCTTTGTGGGAGTAGGGCGTGTCTAAAAAGCAGTAGACGACACACAAAAATGCAAATATAGAAGGCAAAAAATGTAGGAGGAAAAGGTGCAAGTCACAGTAATGAAGTTTTAGACGACTTGGGATCTTTATACGGTTCTGCGAGATGGTGAAAAGGCATTAATCTAATCCAAATTAATGGCCCATTTAAGTAGATAAAAGACATTGTTCATTCCTACATTTCATCATTTTTACTATAATGGGTATCCGGAGGGTTGAGAGTGTCACAATCTGGGGGCGGGGGCGGTTTACTGGGACCTATGCCAAAAACTGCTCCACCGCTGCACCGTATAGCTTTGGCTTTAGGTTGGTTTTCTGATTAGTTTAAGCCTCTCTTATAGATAAATCACCCGAAATGACTGCTGTGTCGTGTACGGCCGCAGCTATCGATTACCTTTTGTAACCGAGTGATCGAATGAATATTATTACATTTGGTTAATGAAGTCATGTATTCACTTCTTTTTTCAATGTTTAATGAAGAAAAAAAATGAGAAATATGGGATTGCTTTCAGAGATCCATGTGAAAACCCGTCCAGGAGAAAGCATCTCCGCAATTACTACTTTATTCTACGAACTGATTGAAGATGTGATTATTATTAACAAATTATTAAGGCTAGGATTGAAATTTAACTCCATTAATCGTCCTGAGCAAATTGTAGTAGTATATTTTTCACCATCAAATATTTGTCCAGATCTAAAGGTCAGATTGTTTCTTTGGAAATGAATTGGAATATGTAAATTAGCTCAACACTAATAAAATATAAAACTTAACACACTGGAAATATCTATTCAATGTGTTTTTTGTTGGTTTTTTTTAGAAAGAAAGACGTAGTAGCAGCAATAATTGTGGGCCATATTTGATGTGTTGAACTCTTTTACATAATCAAATTCAGTTCCAAAGAAAATGATAATTCAAACACATATTTTCATTGTGTCTTTTGTTAAAGGAGTAAATGAAAAAAAGCCCATTCAGGTGTAGATGTCTGTATTGGGTAAATTAAATTAAGGATTTCTGAGGACTTTTAGTATGTTGTTCTGGACATATTATATACTGTAAATGATCTATTGTGGAAAAAAAAAAACATTGTTACGGCCGGCTCAGGGCCACAACAAATAGGGAGGCGAAACGGGGGTAAAAAGTGCAAAAAGTGTACTTAATAATAACAAAAGAGTATAACATGGACAAAAACCAAGGTATGGGGTGTGAGCATGTTGTAATCAGTGTGTGGTGCCGGTGTGTGAGTGCAATGAAAGCCTGTGTGTGGTGTGCAGTGAATGTGGTGCATAAACCAAAAGCCAAACTCAAAGGTGCAACAAAGGAATGGACATGGTGGCTCAAGAAGAGCCCACCAAGACAGGACCCATCCGAGCAGCAGCACCGGAGAACAGGACGACAGGAGGCGAGGAGGAGAGTGAGCAGCTCTCAGCTCCCAGGTGAAAAAACCCATTGATGATGGGCGTGGCATGGTGCAGGTGTGGACCTGCACAGAGGAGGAGATAGCAGAGAAGGCAGGCAAACCCCAGACAGCTCCCTCTCCTGGACAATGTGTTCATCTCAAAACAGTATTAGTATGTATTTTTAAGTTGATATACTTTCTGAAAACCTCCGTCCATTGAGATTATGTCAAAAGTCAAGGTCAGGACTATAACATGGGGAGGCAGAAACAGTCTTCCTGAAAATGTGAAACGGGCATCTACAGTGATAATGTTTAAATCCAGGTCATCTTTTTGCCTGCGCATACAACTGGAGGATTTTATCTCTCCTCTTTGAAATGTGCTGTGGGTTTTCATGATTTTAATCCTTGTGTGATTTTAATATGTGTAATTACTTGTGTGATTTTAATGTTTATGTTTTTAATATTCCATGTGCTCGTGATGTTTATTTTTAATGCCCCGTGTGATTGTATGTGATGAAATATGCCGTTTATTACATGGGCTGTGAAGCACTTTGTATTACCTTGTGTAGTAAAAGCGCTCTACAAAGAAAAGTTTGATTGGTTGAATATGTTACACCACTCTGACAACTTGGTGTGGAAAAATGAGCTCTTTAATGTCTCCGGAGAACACAACGGAAAAAAAACGGCACAAACAGACAGCAGCTGATCAAAATGACAAGTCCTTCAGTACAACCCCTTTTTCAAAAAACGTCACTGTTATATACCAGGGGCCGCACTCGCTACCTGGGATCTCACTGTTAACTGATGTATTTCAACACAATACCATTACATTAACTGTTTGTATGTGTTTAAACAAGGACAATTATTTCTACAATATTAAAGAAAAGTTTACACACTTATTCAAAGTGCTACAATCAGTATGTTTTTTATAGATAGATAGATAGATAGATAGATACTTTATTGATTGAAATTCAGGTGTCCAGCAGCAGAAACGCATCCGTACGTACATAATATACACATTTGTCCCTGACTCACTAACAAACAATAGTGCAGACAGATCTATACAGTCTTTCAGCCGAAGGAACAAAGAATGTCTTAAAGAATAATACCATGACCTTGTTGATACCTCTGTCTTCTTCCACAGGGGCGTGGTGGGCTGGGCTCCATCTTCGTCTGGGCCTCGGGGAACGGCGGGCGGGAGCAGGACAGCTGTAACTGTGACGGTTACACCAACAGCATCTACACCCTGTCCATCAGCAGCTCCACTCAGTCGGGGAACGTGCCCTGGTACAGCGAGCCCTGCTCCTCCACCCTCGCCACCACCTTCAGCTCCGGCAACCCGGGCGAGAAGCAGATCGTGAGTGCTGCTTTCACTATTGACTCACTAGCGACTCTCTGTGTGAAAAAGTGACGCAAAGATAGATTCAGATACATTATTGTTTTCCGTTTGCGGTAAAACCTTATTGGAATGTCCCTTTATGACCGTCACTTTCTGCTGCTGTCACTTTACTGCACTGCTAAATATCTAATGTGAGAATTTAGGGTTAGGGTTAGGGTGCACTTGTATAATTGAACGTATATAAATGATGTATCCTGCCAAAAGGAAGAAGCTGGAACATGGCATTTCCAAGGGCCAGAAATTAATTCATTAATCAGTCATTAATTATTTTAAGAGCTCGAGTCTGGATTAATAAAGCCAAATATTTTGGCTATTAATCATTTCGTAACATTGGTCCACCCAAAAACATACTAGCACAGTGGCTGAGGAGTTAGCAGAGAAGGTCCTGGGTTCAAATCCTGGTCACAACTGGTGACCTTTGTGAGTGGAATGTGCATGTTCTTCCCATGTCTATGTGGTATTCCTCCAAAAATTCCTCCTTTATTTTGTTAATTTTCAGTTTGAAAGCGTTCCCCTCCCACTCACAGAAGCTACATGTCAAGGAAATTGTAGCTGGTAGTTCCCTCCACAACCTGAACAAGGCTGAGCTGAAGCTTTGGTGTCCCTTCTGAATATTTATCGCATATATTTTCTACACCTAGACATTGACAGTTCTTTTCTACACCTAAACGCCAAATGTGAAAAACGTGAAGCCTTAAAGAATGCATTTTTGATAATTTACGTATATGTTATTTCCAGTTTGAAACCTTCCTTTCAATATTTGCCGTTTGTGAATTCAGCTCAGACGATACATGGCACTATTTTTGATCTTAAGGATTTCTAAAATAAGACGTTTTAATATTTGAATCCCAGCAGTCTTTGCCAGAACAATAAACGTGTAACTCAGCGTGGGACACAGTGACAAACACAGAGACGCCTCACACCTTCCTTTCCTTTTGGTCTGAAAAAGCCCTGCTCCAGGCACACACAACGACATGAAAAACTGTAAATGTGCCATCGGAGCCAGGTACCTGTGGAGGCATGCTGCAGGCACACAAGCACACATGTATCATTCATTTTCACTTTTGCATCCTGCCATTTTGGTGAATATAAAGTGGGCTTTTTTTGTGGGCAGTAGATTTTCCTCAATGCAAATAGTCGCCCTTTGTGGTTCGAACCATTTGATTCCGATAAAAACACGAAGTGGCAGTACAGAGACAAACGGGTGATTGAATTCGATCCGCTTTAGGCTTTCGAATTCTGAAGCCAGTGGATTGATTTGTCCATTGCTCCTGTAAGTGCTTCGACCTCATCGGCACTTCATTACACACTGTATACGTCGAAGTTGTATTTGTATGTATTTTATCCTATTTGCTTTTGTTTTTTATTAATTGAGTCTGCGAAGCACTTTGGGCAGTTGGTGTTTTTTTATACAGAAAATGCAACACAAATTACTTTACAATGCCACAAGCCCATGACCCCTCAATCCGACCCAATAAACACACATCAAACCACATTTATTACTAATTATACACACACACACACATATACAGTCACATCAAATGGGTTAACACCCACCGGCGCGCCGGCGTGCCGTTTGTATGTTTTTAAATGTTCTGCTGGCAATAGCAGATGTATTTTGAACACCAAACCCCAAAAGCTGTATATAATTTTAAAGCTTATTTTCTTATCTACATGTATATACAAGTGTAAACTACATCAGACTTTCCATTCAAAAGATATAACACATAATGTGGGCACAAAATAAATAAATAAATCGTTTTTTACCTTTGGGCTTGTGCTGTACAAATAAATCAGCTCTCCTCCCAGCTTGCAATACATCATTCTCTCTGGAACAGTCCAAAGGAAAATTATATCCACTTGTATTACCCAAAGTAAAATCCATTCTGCAGAAATAATCCAAAAATGTGCATTAATCTTTAGCAAAAAAAACGAGCACAGATGTTGCTTTTTCACTTTTAACAGACTTTTAGCTTTGTTTTTCACCCGAACATCTGGTATCTACGTGTTCCTTAGCTCCTTATCTTTCAAATGAGACTACTCCCGAAAAGCTAGACCAATTTTTGGGTCTGCAAGAGCTCCCGTGAGTACAGCTAGCGCTGCTGTTTGCGCATGGATCACTGATCTTTGTTGTCATCCCTTCTTGTTTGCTTCTATTTCCGGGATGTTTGATTGACATGTCCGTGTACTATACAATACAATACAATTTATTCTTGTATAGCCCTAGGTCACAACAGAAGTCATCTCAGAGGACTTAACAAAACCATTGAAATCACCAACACAGGTCAGAGAATCAACAGTTAACACATGGAGAATATAAAGCACACACAGAAGAAAATGTCCATACATGTTGTAGAATGCTAAAGTGTCCTGATCATCACCAATCCTTTCTGTTGGACACTAACTGTCCAACAAGACCCTCCTGCATCGACAAGGAAAAACTCTTAAAAAACCCATTGGGAAAAAGTGAGAAACCTTGGGGAGCACTAGGGAAACCCACAGGGAGGGAGACCCATATGAGAAAGGGATCCGCTCCTCCGGACGGACAGGCTAATGATCTAGGACCTAAGCTAGCTACAGAACGTGGACCAGTGGACGCTGAACGTGGACAGGTCCGGTGCAGGACTGAAGCACTCCCAGGCGGGTCGGGCGGGGCAGTCCGCAGGTGCAGATGGAGGAGGCCAGGCTCAGGGATCCCGTCATCGTACCATGAAACAGACAATGGGACAACGGGTGAATAGCAATGAACAAACTACAGTCAGAATCCTAAAAGTGTTTTAAACCTAGCCTTGAATAAAGAGATTCATGGATTGCACACCAGGTGTGCAAACCGATCCAAGCAAACCTAATTATATATTATATATCATATATATCACATATACCATACATACCATATATATCATATATAATACACAACATAACATACAGCATAATATATAACATAATATACAACATAACACAATACATTATTGTATAATATATAACATAATATATAACATAATACAGCATATATATATAATATATACACCATATATTATATATTACCTAATTATATGCTAAATTAAAGTAAAGTGCTTTAAGCCTGGCCTTGAATGTGGAGACCGTATCTGCTTCCTTAACATAAATGGGAAGCTGATTCCACAGTAAAGGAGCTTGGTAGCTAAATGCTCTGCCACCAACAGTGACCTTTGAGACCTTAGGGACCACCAGACGTCTGGCGTTTTGTGAGCGCAACGCTCGACTTGGTTGATACGACACTAACGTGTCTTGGAGATAAGAGGGAGCCAAGCCATTTATGGTGTAGCCAATGAGGAAAGCTTTCGAGCAAGGGGTGGGACAATGGTGTCCTGTCTTATGTTGTGCCTGTAGAATTGTGCGTAATGGCAGCCAAAAGACGCTCTCGAAGCTGCAATGAATTTACACTCATAAAAAAATAACTTTGACATTTTAAAAAAAAACACACATAGATTAGTAACTTATAAGTACCAATAATAAAAAATATTGTTTTTATGATGATTAAATGTAAATAAAGATATTTGGCACAATTTGGCACACTTGTGCCAAATTGTGCCAAATGTGCACTACTTGATGAAAAGGAGAAACTGCATAAAAACTATAAAACTTAGAAGTCTGAAACTTTAGACAGTTGTTATCAACAACACAATGACCAAAGGGTTTTGAATATTGTGAACTTACAATGAAGTATGCCTTTTTTAGGGCCTTTAGAAATTGAAAATGTTAGGCGAGACTAAAAAAATTGGGTTTTTTTCCCAAACTTCAAAGGATGCAGAGGGAAATAGGAATGACAAACATTATTTTAGTGTTTTTTTACATAAACTAGAAGGCTCTAACTTTAAAATGATGCATCACACAAGCATGTGAGATGTAAGATGTGTTTTTAAATAAGCAAAGACATTTGGGTATGCCCAACTTTTGTGCACAAGCCAAAATGAGGCGGGTGTTAATTAACGGGTCAAACCTATGTGGAGTTTGCATGTTATCCCTGTGTCTGTATAGGTGACTGTGTGTGTGTGTGCCTGGCTTCCGTTGTCAGTTTGAGTGAATGAAAAACACCACATCAAAATTATGAAAGCTCTATGTGCGACCATGGTCAGTCAAACACACTTAGATTACTTGCATACATGTAGACTCAGTGCACAACAAATGTCTTTATAATACATTTACTTCTGTTTTTGGTTCCTGTTGACCTTCACCTTGTTTTTCATTTGCTCGTAATGCAGCATTATAAAGCAGTAAATTATTCACTCTATTGTAGCCTCTTTTTTCTTTAAAATCTATTTTCTATTTATCTCATGGTTGAATGTGAGAGCGATAACCACTCTGAGCTAGTTACTCTAGTTGAAGGTTCGTCTAGTTTTTCTTTCTCTGCCAATTTCAAAAACAAGTACTCAGTGCAGATTGAGTATTATATTTAAAGTATTCTATTCAACAAAATATGCGGAAACTATGTTGAAAGTCCAAAAGGTTTCTCGTGTTCTATTCAATTCTGTTTTGGTCCATGACCTCAAGACAAAAGCATGACGGCTGCAGGAAATTCTGCATTTTTGTGTAGAAAAAGTGTGAAAGCCTGAAAATGTGGACATGCACCACCATTAGAAGATGATTAAAAGCTCTTTATAGTCAATTTGCAAAGTATGTCATGTAGGGGTGTGACGATACAGTATATACATTTTTTGATATATTGCGATACTTTCTCCCGTGATTCGATTATCGATATGCATTTGCCAAGTATTTATATCAATTTTGAAAAAAACTAATTTTGTTGCAAATTATTGTTTTTGAATTGGTATCAATACTTAATATACGGCTACATTACGCATCTCCATTCCATTTATCATGAAATGAAGTGTATTTTTCTTTTATTTATGCCATAAATTGGCATATTATATATTTCTGACCAATATATCAATAATCGTCATATCGTGATAAAATCGTTATCGTGATAAAATCGTTAGCGTGATATCGTTATCGTGAGCTTTGTATCGTATTGTATCGTGAGGTTCCCTTAGGTTCCCACCCCTAATGTCATGTATTATATATATCACCTATTCTTTGTCTGTCATTGATTATGTTTGTCACCTATTCAATTGCATGTACCTTATTTTTTTCATTATAAGTCGCAGTTTTTGTCATAGTTTGGCCGGAGGTGTGACTTATACTTTGGAGCGACGTACACTACCGTTCAAAAGTTTGGGGTCACATTGAAAGGTCCTTATTTTTGAAGGTAAAGCACTCTAGATAACTTTAAACTAGTCTTAACTGTAAAGAAATATACTCTATACATTGCTTATGTGGTAAATGACTATTCTAGCTGCAAATGTCTGGTTTTTGGTGCAATGTTGTAATTGCTGCAAATGGAGGATTCTTTGACGAAGGCAAAGTTGAGGTAAAACAAATCTTATTTCAAATGCAAATCATTATTTCTAACCTTGTCAATGTCTTGACTCTATTTTCTATTCATTTCACAACGTATGGTGGTGAATAAGTGTGAGTTTTCATGGAAAACACTTGGGTGACCCCAAACTTTTGAACGGTAGTGTATATGTGTGAAATTATTACATTTTATATTTTATTTACCGTAAGAAATCAAATTTTCTGAGCAATTAAGCTATAAAAATGCGACTGATACTCTACTGCAACTTATGTTTTTCTCCTTCTTTTTTATGCATTTTTGGCTGGTGCAGCTTATTATACTCCGGAACAATTTATAATCCAAAAAATACGGTACATTTTTTTTGTTTAGACTCTAGCACTCATGCCTTGTCTTCTAACTGACAGTCTAAGTGTGAGACCAGACAGAGGACGTGTCTGTGTACAGTAGGTTCAACACTAAAAAGATCCTGGCCTCATTCACTTCAGAGAGAACTATAAAAGTCCCCATGAGGTTCCCTTTCTTGTCCTCGGTTCAACTTAAAGTACCATTAATTGCAAAAGAAGCAAACGCTCTCTTGCGATCTGGAGCTTCATTAGTTTCCTCCTGCCCTCACTGTTTCAGACTTGGCTTGGCTCTGGTCCTGGCTCGTCCGTTTTGGCTGACATTCAGTGCCTGTTGTCTGACCCTCCGGTGGCTCCACAGACCCACGGTGTTAACATAATTTACAGGTTGTGTTGCTTTTGTGCCCTGGTTTCCTAGGTGACAACAGACCTGAGGCAGAAGTGCACAGAGACGCACACCGGGACGTCGGCTTCGGCTCCGCTCGCTGCAGGGATCATCGCTCTGACGCTGGAGGCAAAGTGAGTCACAAGGACAACGTGGTCTTTAATATACAGGGCTGCACGATTAATTGCGCAATTTTAGTGCCCGCGAAAAGCAAATTGTGTAATTATTTAGATCACTTTTCTTTACAAACAGCATTTATTGCACATGCTGCAAAAAGTCACCGGTATTGCTGTGTTTATTCACTAAAACGGGCTTGGAAATAGAATGATTACTGCAAATGGTAAAACTGTTGTAGAAATATAACTGGGGTTATAAATCAATTTAACTTAAGAATGAATCTAAATATGAATTAGGATATCTGGGACAAAGTTCAAAGCTAGTCAATCTGTTCAAGCTAACTAAACTGTTGTTCTGTAGAGACGCAAGGCCAATGACGGGGTGGAGGCAGATACTAGCTTGATATCAGGGGCAAGAAGAGCGTGCTCACCGGTCGTACTGACCATTCTTCCTAATATCAGAGTCTATCAGAGTAAGACGTCAGAAGAGAGGGGGGTTTGGGCTACGGCTACCACTTAATCTCGGACTCAGAGACGCCATAGATAGACTCTTCTGTTTGTTCCATCCTATAAATATGAGAGAGAGCGAGCACTATTCAGAAGATCTATCCGGGACCTGCCACGCGGTTACACCGTTTTTTTTTCCTGTATATGTATACATTTACTGAGATAATAAACCACACTTTGATTTGAATACAGCTCTTGTTGTTTATTTTATATTTAATATTGTATATTTCACTCCTTAAAAATTCCACAACAAAAATTAAAATAAAGTTGGATATCCCTTCATTTTGAAAAAGTTAATATTCACAGCCTATGATTGCTACCGACAGAATTGGCATACTGGTCGTCTTTAAGATATGTGTACCTCAACTTTAAATTGAGCTTTGTAGACTGACACCGTTGCATCACATATTTTCTAAATATTGTGGCAGTTCGATACGGATTACGCAACAGTTTCTTCATTCGTCATTTTATTCTCGCTCTTTGATGAGATGTCTTTGATGTGTCTGTATTTTGTCTACTGTGGAGCAACACAGGTTATTTTTCCTTTGCGATGAAGCATTTTCCATTTACCAGTAGTCGTTACAGATTACAGATTCGTGGTTATCTTTATTTTTCAATGATAGTGAATGGACTTGGACGTGTCTTTGTGGCCGGGGCACAGATGACCGGCCTGATGGCTCTGGCTCAGGGGCCGAGTGACAATGACACGTCAACCTCTGTGAGCTCAGACTCAGGCTGTGACGCGCTTGAACTTGCCTCGGTAATAATTTAACAGAGTTTTATGTTTTCATTTTAGTCATGTGTATAACGTCTATAATAATTGCCTCAACCATTCTGGTGGATCATATCCCCTCAAAGCTTGGAATTGAAATCTACGTCATTGGGGCATTTCTATCACTTGGTTTTAGGCACTTTGTAAATGTGCATTTAATTTTTCCCTGTAGGGGATTTTGTAGAGGCCTATAATTCAAAAACAAGAACTAAGGGGTCCATATAAATTAAGTAAGTAAGTATAAGTAATCTTTATTTATATACCGCCTTTTCACTGCAGATCTGAGTCTCAAAGCGGTTTACAATTGTTTTTATTTTAGGCATTTGTCTCTCACTCAACACAGAGATGGGAGCGGGGTCGCCGGTACAGGAGGCGCATGCCAGACCTATTGTACATATTTTTAGTGGTAGGGGAAACCGGAGCACCCGGAGGAAACCTACGCAGAGACGGGGAGAACATGCAAACACTCAGAAAGGCCCTGGTCTGACCGGGATTCGAACCCAGGACCTTCTTGCTGAGAGGCGAGAGTGCTATCCACTCAGCCACCGTGCCGCCCGTTGATAAAAATTGATAAAACTAATTACATTTTATTATTAATGCTCCTACAACTTCAAAAATAAAGAAAATTTAAAAAAAAGTCAGTTATGTAAAACAAGCTTTTTAACAAAAATTTAAAATACTCATTTATTCTTCTAAAAAGCTCCCAAGTTTGAATAATGTTTTTGTTTAGTCTCCTATAAAGCACATTTTCCCATGCCCATATATTTGTCGCCATCGTTTGTAGCAAGAGGACATGTTCTGGATGAATTACTCATTGGAAACACAAAGATTAAAGTAGTTCACAAAGAATAATGCATAACCTTTAAAAGGTCTGTTAAAAAATGAATGGTTTGCTTTTCCTCCAAAAGTCTAATTAAAAAGTTTGTTTGAGTTTATTCGGTCTGTGGGGACGTAGTTGATAAATGAGTATTCTATTATGTAGAGGTGTAGTCAACAGCTTTTGTGATTATTCTTAACTTAATTGTAAACCTAATTGTAAACGTCTGTCTCTGCTCTTGTGGGATGTGTTTGGAGATGTACACGCTTGTTCACATCTGGGACTCTATACGCTGGCCTTGGTCCCGGCCAGGAAAGTCTCTCTTCAGCAAATTAGACTTTTTGATAATCAGTTAATTAGGGAAACAAATCAGCTCTTCAAGCCCACAGACACAGGCAGGACCAGGAGGACCAACGCTGCAGTAAACAAGGATTGTCATAAATCATAAATAACTACCACAACTTCTGTGGTTGGAAATACTAAAGCAAAGCGATACTAAAACTAGATACAGCAATCATATCAGCAGGTATTGACATTGTATACAGATTTATCTTATATAGATTTATATTATATTAATAGCAGAATAATTATTGCGTGACGCCTGGTGTGACATAAAACAGACTGTTAAGTGGCTTATTGTCCAAAATATGGTTTCAAAATTGGCATAGAGCAGAAATACAGTAAACTATAGAGAACTACTTTTCTTGGAACAAGATGACTAAAGCTTTGACGTTTAAACGGTCAAACAAAGTCATTATAAGCGTGAGCTCACCATAGAGACGATGGTTATATGCTCAAACTACTTGAATGTACAAAATATGTTTTTTGTGCACAAATCACTATTCCTACAATTATATGTAGGATTTTACAAAATTTCAAACTCCTGCGAATTGTTAGCAGTGGAACATATCAACAGCACAACAGGATCAATGCAGGTTTTTGCACCAAACAACTTAGAGAACTTCTGTCTTTTTTCAAACAAAACCTTATGTACAGGAGTACAACCTTTAAAGTACTCCTGTGTACAGGTGACCCTGCTCCCAACTCTGTCCACAACAATTGTAAAGTGATTTTTTTACTCTGGTCTGCAAAAGGCACTATATAATAAATAATAGATTGCTTACTTACTTCAATTCTTTGTTGGAAATCATAAAAGTAAGGGAGTAGTAGATTTTACTTTGCATGTGTCATCCATTATTCACTATTAGTTGTCAGAGTTTAAACATTAGTGTTTCAACTCTGACTTTCCCCAAACCAGCCGTGGTAATAACAGCAGTGTTTATCTGGGACCACACAGGGGCCCACTCTGATGGAATCATTTAATAGGCAGAACACATTGGTTTTCCTGGAGGCATTCTCAATTTTTTAATTTTTTTATTCTCTTTGCTGAAGTCAAACTGGAGCGACAGGTCCATTAATCTCACATGAAGAGATAGGGATAGAGCTGTGGAGGTGATTGTTCGCAAAGTAATTGGAGGATGTCCTTTTTTTCTCTCTAAAGTTGCAGTTTAGCATTCAATTAAAACCCTTCCATCAAAATATTTACACAGCTCTTATTTTTTACAACACGTGTCTTTAGTACCGACTTGTACATTAGCTGTTATGCAGAGTAGTATTATAATGTCTGCTAAAATCAGAGATGTGAAAGAGAAGGAGCTGAGAGCTGGTTTAATAACGGTGGATATCATTAGTCATTAGCAGCCTGGCATTATTCAATTGTTTGCTTTATGAATGTGAAATGATTGTGAGCGGCTAAATTGAGATGAAAAGAACTAGGTCTGTGCACTTTATCAAATAAAAATCATGTAATCATTGTTAGTGGCCGGCTACATATTCAGTTACAATTGTATTAAAAGGCTAAATCTAAATTTGTTTAATAACTTAAAAGTGATAAGAGATAGAGGCTTTATGTAAATTAGAGAAATTATAAGTAGGGCCTAAAGTCAATGTAGGAATTAAATGTACCGATCTAATTTGCATGTTATGACTTCATATGGGAGTGACTATCAAAATATATCTTATCACTATAGGACATGAACTCACATTGTACCATACTCAAGGGTCAGGGAAATAGTAATAGAGTGCAAATCACTGTACTTAACCCATCTTGTATCTTTTTATTGGCAAGGCAAGGCAAGTTTATTTGTATAGCACAATTCATACACAAGGCGACTCAAAGTGCTGAACAAGAAAAAATAGCCTTAAAATTATGAATAATCGCAGTACATTAAAAAGAAAGTTGCATGCACAGCTAAACAGAACTGTCTTTGACCTGGTTTCAAACATTGTCAGAGAGGAGGCCTGTCTCACATCTTCAGGAAGATTGTTCCAGGTTTTAGCAGCATGAATCTGAAAAGCAGCTTCCCCATGTTTAGTTCTGACTCTGGGCACTAACAGGAGTCCAGTCTCTGTGCTCCTCAGAGTCCGGGCTGGTTCGTATGGCACTAACATGTCACTAATGTACTTTGGTGTGAGGCAATGGAGAAACTTTGAAGGTTTAAAGTCTATTCTCTGAGCCACAAGAAGCCAGTGCAGAGACCTGAGAACTGGACTAATGTGGTCGTACTTATTATTATTATCTAAGGGTGCATTTACCTAAAATTTGCATCTCTTATTTGAACATGTGTCCAGTTCTGGAGTAGTTAAACCATCTTCCATAGAATGTGAGTGCTGTTAAAATTGCCTGTGCGCTTAAATAGGTTATTATTTATGTATATATTATTTGGAATACAGTCGAATTATTAATTGTTATTATCCTAATATTCAGCTGTCTTAAATTATTCTCTGATTAGACAGTACATTTTATCTTGAAATATTTACCAACTTTGTCTATGTATGTATGTATGTATGTATGTATGTATGTATGTATGTATGTATGTATGTAGTTTTTTACCTTAACATGCAGTATGATTCTTCTTGATTTTAAATAAGCAGATGCTATTTAATTATCAGACACTGCGTTCCTTCGACATGCCTGTGTACACCAGACCCTGATGATTTTGAAAATGCCACAGTTAATAATGTTGCACCTTTGACATAAACTCTTATAGCATGGCTGAGCGGATCCTTAAGCTCGTGACCTTTAAGATTCCTCGTATTGTCTGCTGCCGTACTGCTCAAGTGGATGCTCTTGTTTCCCATAATTTAACCATCTTCTCTCGACTGCTGGAAAATCAATATGTTTCCTTGTTTCCACTGCAGCATGAACCTTACCTGGAGGGATATGCAGCATCTGGTGGTGCGAACATCCATGCCCAGACATCTGAGCACTGGAGACTGGAGGACCAATGGAGTGGGACGCAAAGGTAAACAAAAATCTTCACAAAGACTTCTCCTTGTTCAATGCTAAACAGGGGATTGTACGAGGTAAAACTAGGCAAAACTGAACTGAACTTTTAGTCGTGTCCTTACAACAAAAGTTGTAAGAAAAAATCAATCTCTTTCTTATGTATTCCAGGCATCCATATTCCAGGGCCCAGTTAATAAGATCGAGCACATTAGCAGCAGACGTTCTGTTTATCTGAGAGATGATGAGATGTGTAGACATATGTCTCTATTCAGGGTAGAGTCACAGGCATATTGAGAAATGGAAGGAATAGAAGAGAAAAGGGAATAATGTTCTGTCCTTTTTTCATAGTAAGTCACTCGTATGGATATGGCCTCCTGGACGCTGGGGCGATGGTGGCTTTGGCACAGAACTGGACCTCAGTGGGACCACAGCATGAGTGTGTGATCAACATGCTCACAGAACCTAGGTTAGTATTTCTAACGCTAGAGCAGGGGTGGCCAACCAGTCAGAGACTAAGAGCCATTTTTTTTACTTTGTTACAGCAAAGAGCCACATCATACAAATGTGCGCTACATAAACATCACCCCATCCCTTACACACGCACACACACGCGCACGTACGCACACGAGCAGAGACACGCACACACATGCAACCTGTCTGAGCAGAGAGAGGTGTGCTCTGCTCAGATAGATGTAAATGTCATCAACATGATAATGACAGAAATTGACTCGTACAGTACTAAAGGGCTGGACTCGACTCTCCCTGGTTTACGGGCACTTCTACCGCTCGCTTTAGCCGCTCCCCGGTACTTTTTATTGATGGTTCGGCCCTGGTTCTAACCGGGCGAGTCGATACCAGAACAATTGCACGTCAGCGAACATCAATTATGATTCCGAAATGAATGCTTTCAATCTCTAACCAAGAAAAAAAAATCAAGTTTCAACCCAGTATTCAGCAGAAACACAACTGTCTTTATCGAACCATGATTCACTCTCTGACTGTATTTAGTAAAAGATATAAATTTGACACATAACACCAACACCACTTTAGCTGATTTAGAACCACAGACACATGCTCAGTATAAGACCAGATACTTTTGCATTTGATTGAAGACAGACACTCACCAGGCAGAGTTGGCTAATCTCCTGGTGTAGCTGGTGTTAGCTGGTTTTAGCATGTTAGCCGGTGTTAGCCGATGTCCGTAAATGTAATCCATTTGGTCAAACCACCTCCAGACTTTTCGGGTCTGCCTCTACTTCTGCTGCTGCGATCTTTCATTTCACGGTTGTCACTTTTAAGCTTTTTAACTTTTCTCTGCATTGTCATGTTTGTGGGAATCATTCTGCTCCGTCCTTAGCGCTAGCTCCACAAACACCTTCTGGTTTCTGGTGGAACCATCGAGCTCACGCTGGTGTCCTCTCCTCAAACTGAGGAAGGAGTTGCCCTCATCCAGCGACCAAGGAACTGTTTTCCGTACGGACGCCATGGGTCGAGGCAACGTGTTGTTTGTTATGATATTTAACAGCTGAGGCAGCGGCTGCAGAGTGGTTGACAGCGCATCTGACCAATCAGAATTGACGTTCGCCGACGTCAGATTGTTTTGGTGGCCTGGCTAGTGGAGTGAAGTCGGCCTTTACTATGGGTCAGAACTACATAGAGAATGAATGGCAGCGCCACCACCGAGGCGTTTTTGACGCTTGTCGTGTGAAAGCCCGAGAGCCGCACGGAACCAGCCAAAGAGCCGCGGGTTGGCCACCCCTGCGCTAGAGGGTAATCCTGTCTACTGTCTACGCACATAACGTTTTATCCATGCACTTAAGTCTGATGGATGTCAAGAATATTCCTCCGAGGTGGTATTGTCACACTCTGATAAAGTCTGTGTCCATTTTGGTTCATTAACCGGGCCTCCCTGTCTGCTGTCAAACTGCAGGGACATAGGGAACAGGCTGGTGATCAGCCGGAATCTGGACGCATGCTGGGGACGTGTGGACTATGTCACCTCCCTGGAACATGTGCAAGCACGCATCACTCTGTCCCACAACCAGAGAGGCAAACTGGCCATTCATCTCCTCAGCCCTTTGGGCACGAGAGCCACCCTGCTCTTCCCCAGGTACACACAACATTTGGCTTTCTCCACTAAACTCTTTGATGGATCTGGCCATTGGTTTTCATTGTAATGCAATTTTTGTGTTTTAATTTGAATCATTATGAGATTTATTTCATGTGTCAGACCTTAGGTCAATGTGTTTGCAAAATTATTCTCAAGAATGACAGAGGTGAAAGGACTGCCCTTTTCTCAAGGTGCACTGAATGCTTTTTCAAATGTAATCATGTTCTGATTTAGGCCTTATGCTTTGAAATCTAGAGAATAATTTCTACCTGCTAATCTCTGCTCTCTCTCCAGGCCTAATGACATTTCCTCAGAGGGTTTCAATGACTGGGCCTTTATGTCCACTCACTCCTGGGACGAGGACCCACAGGGAGAATGGACCCTTGAGATCGAGAACATGGCAGCTAATAGTCGTGACTACGGTAAAACCTCTGTTTTCTTTTATTTCATATTATTATTCTGCTGGATTTATTTGACAAGGTGGGTATAATGGGGTATTGGCAGAGAATTTGAAAGTCAATGCATACGTTTTGTTGTTTATGAAAATGTACGTCTGTGTCTGTTCCGCACATACCTTACTGCTCTTTCTCCTTAGTTTTCATCTGCGTGATGATAAATTGAAATTGTTTCTCACAGGAGTGTTGAGTCAGTTTACTCTTATCTTGTGGGGAACTGGGCCCAGTGTGGTGAACCCGGCCTCGTCGGACTTCCCTCGACCCTCTAACAACAGCTGCAAGACTTTTGATGCTCAGCAAATCTGTATTGGTAAGAACCAACATCAACAACTATTTATTTTAGTTTTTGCTGATTTGTTTGTTATATGCAGTTTGAACAAAACAAGAAGGCTGGTGTTCTATGTATGTGTTGTATGTATTAAACACAAAGATACAGTACTTGATCCCATATATCTTATGTCTTGACATGATTGCTAAAAGTGCCCAAAAGTCCTTATTCTGTTGTAAGAGAAAGCGCCAACAGAATAAATGTTTCAAAACTAGTGTGCAAACAGCCCAATAAGATTGTGTTTTAGCTCCTACAAGGGGCCACAGTTACTCCTCTGGTCACGGCGCTGTGGAGTGCAATGCCAGGATGCGTTTTAAGCGTGAGATGGGTTACGATAATCATATAATACCTCCAGAGTGCCCCTGCTCACTGTTCTCATTTACTGAAATGTACAACATAAATCAATCTATAGGATGTGAATTATGAACATTCAGTGATACATTTTTATGTCTGCCTCACTCACTTGTGTGTTTGTGTGTTTCCAGAATGCAGCCCGGGATTCTCACTCTTCCTACAAGGCTGTGTGAAGCTCTGTCCTCCAGGCTTCACCTCGGGACCTCAGCTGCTGAACTTGTCTCTGGAAAACTGGGTAGACCTGTCGTCTGTACAAGCCTGCCTTCCCTGTCACGCCGCCTGCCTCACCTGCTCCGGGCCTGGACCAGTGGACTGTCTGTCCTGCCCGTCTCACAGCCACCTGGTGCTCAGCTCCTGTTTGCACCAGAATCAGGTGCAGCGTAAGTCTCCTTCATCAGGAGGCATCCAGAGAGAGAAGGACCCAGAGCTGTCGGGGGAGGGCCCTGCCTCAGACTCTGACAGTGGAGGTGGGGGCTCCTCTCCTCTGCCCACTGTGTTGGCTGTGCTTAGCGGAGCCTTCATCCTGGCAGCGTTTGTTGGGCTCTTTTTGTTGCTGCATAAGCGCAGGGGCCGTCCTGCCCCGAGCTGGAGGACCACACTGCCCTCTGTGTACTCTCACAGCAGGGGCATTCGCCTGGGATTTCACTGCAGCCAGCACTCCCAGAGCAAAGCTAAGATCTGCTACAAGGGGCTCCCCACTGTGTGGGGCGATGAGGACATGATCACTTACGAGTCTGAATCAGACAGCGAGGAGGTAGATGGCCACAGCGAGAGGACCGCTTTTATCAAGACACAGAGCTCCATTTAATTCGATGTGGAGAGGATGTATTATGTCCAGAGTTCTGCCTTTTCGAAAACCTCTTCAACCTTTCTGTCTAAATCAGGGAGCTCAACAAAATCTAATCATGCAACATCCTGCTCCCTGATTGAATCCATCACTGACGTTTCTGTATTAGATGTCTACTGCTTTTTATTTGCTTAACGCCTGCATTTATTACCAATATCCAGTGTTTACACCACAGTCGGTCAGGCATAAATGCCCTTTCTACCAGCCACACTTTGTCCAGTTTATTAAGCCAGTTGAGTGCATTTGTCTGTCCTTGCTCCAAACAAGTGTCGGCACAATCACTGCTCCTGTTAATTGGCCGTTTTATTATCACATTCTGCAGCAGTCTTGAGTGTCACAAAGTGCTCATTAAAAGTGGAAAACTTTAAATTGAACTTTTCTTCAGACTGCTGTAGTAAAAACATTCACCTGGGTGTTGGGTATAGAGAGTAGCACATGTATCGATATCTGTAAGGATCCAGAAGCGGGAACACCAGTCACAAAACAGTTTGGCTGTGACCTGTATCCGGGTGGCACAATGTAATCTAGCCTTTGTAATGTTCTTAGACAAACCTGCCCTTTACATTCAACTGAAGCACTGCAAAAAATAAAAATGTGTCCACCACTTAAACTGGGTATTGACCAGGGAGCTTCTGTCCCAGGAGACCACATTTATGTATGCTTTATTTAATTTAAGCCTGTGTACACTTGTTACACAGATTGTATATAAAGCCTTGATGTAACGGCCAAAATGGCTGCGGTGAATAAAGTTGAGGACATATGGGATATGCCTTTTTGTATGTTTGTTTTGTATCTTTTTTATTTAACTGATCACTGGTGTCAATATTGTTGACCTGGGTTTTATGCTGGAATAAAATGACATTGGCTGCTGCACAAGGACTCTATTGTCTTTACTGCCAGGGTTTCAAAGTTTTAGAGCTTAACAAATCTTGGCGTCAGCTCCTGCCACTCACTCACTCTCAGGAGGGCAGATGGTTTGTCACTTTTTCATGGTCGTAAATCATTGTTAGGCTTTCCTTCTCCCTGGGTGCACGCTTTCTACCTGCCTGTCGCCAAACGGCCCATTTGAGAACTTGTTTTGACGATTGAGGATGTGTGCAGGTGGAAAAGACCTGGTCTGTCCATTTAAACCAGAGCTTTTGATGCAGGCCAGACAGTGGGGTCAGAAGTGAAGGCACATTCTCTGAGTGGTCTATAATTAAGATGTGCTGGGAGAAGAGCCACTGCCCTGTGCATGTGTCATGTTTTGCATTAGAAAGTCTTTATGTGGAAGTGATTAAGGACTTTTCACCACATGCTCATTAAACACCATTCTGCACGCTTCAGTTCTCAACCTCTCTCTGCGGCCTTTGACATGTAATAATTATCGCTCATGTACTCTACTCTTGCAACAGCCAACAACACAGTCAATATTAAATATTTCCAGCCCGGGGCCGAATTAAGAATCTCACTTGTGGTATTCAACAGTATGATCATTCATGTTGTGCTGCTTGGAAAGAATATATCACATTTCCACATTTCTGTTCCACGGTGGGGAAATGTCAACACACATGTATAATGTAACGTTACCAATGTGAAACAAAAGCTGCTGTTGAGCCTCAGGTTTCTACACCCGCTTTCTGCTCTCTCTTTGACAACATTTGCATTCACCAACCCAGGCTGCGATGGAAGTCGTGCCGTTCAAAGACCTGTCCCTGTAGGTTTAACCGAGACGAAGAGAAAGGACAAATCTCTGACATCATGTGGAGCGTCTCCAAATAGCATCTGCCCAACTCTGATGAAATCTCACCATTAGTTTCAAAAAGATACGGTATAGAAACAGATCTGGGTTTAGTACAAGCCTGAGACTCATCTGTATTGTGTTCTGTCCTCTATGTCCTATTTCAACACCACGTCTCATCTATAAAGTTGTCAAGAGTATTTGGGGAGAAAGTTGACATTTTGAGAAGCAGTGCCAGGATTAAGATTGCTTGTGTGACATTAAACTCTGAGAATAGATTTTTGTCTTTAAGATGTTCTTAAGATCACACATTCTCTACCCGTATGTGACTGATCCCAGAAGATAAGAAGCTAAAGGCCTGGTTAATGCTGTGATGTGAGACCTCTGGGAACGCAAGGCTGACTAGCATGAGTGAGTGAGGGATTGATTGATGGTGGTAGAAGCAGCTGATGGCACTGACTCTTTCAGTCTGTTCCAGGGCAGCTACGGCATCAGCAGTAGCGCACCACCACCGTGTATGGAGATAAGATAGACTTTTTTTGATCCCACACAGGAGACATTTTCATGTCACTTTGGCATGGATGGAATCACTCAGATTTGTGCAAAAGACAGTAGTGTGCAAACGTGTGAAAGGCAAAAACTATAGTCTGTTCAGGATCTATTATGTACAGTAAAAAAGGGGAAATTAAAGAAACAGTAGAGTGAGCAAATACTGCCGTCTGCTATGAAAAACGCAACAAAAGTCGTCTGCCTTTTTATTACTCTTGTAGGTAACATGATGCGTGATTTGCATTTTAGCTTCAACGACCTTTCGTTCATGAATATCTTTCTCTCGTCCTTGAATGAGCGCCAGACCTTCCGTGTTGTTGACCGCTCAAAACTGACACACACAAGTTGTATCCCACATGTTCCATCTGCTCGGTGAGAGGCAGCCATCATCATCAGCGAGCAGCGAGTGGCACTTTTCTCCAGTGTATCGTAGACTCCATGGAGAGAGGGAGTCCCAGGACAAGAGGTGGAGAGAGTTGATGTAGTACTATCATCCTGAAGGAGGGCAGCTGCACGTGTTTCCGTTCCATTCGATTCAACCTAATCTTATATTGCACTAAATCACAACATCAGTCGTCTCGGAGAAATTTACAAAGTTGTCGATTTACCCACAACAGATAATAGAATTAAAACATATATTCACAGGAAAAGCGGACGCATAGAAGCGATCGGTCCATTGGCCACTGCTCATAAATGTTAATAAATGATAATAAATGTGCATAAATGTCCCGGATCCTCTCTCTCCTTCGACCCTTCTGCATCTGCAAGGAAAGACTTTTTTTTTTTAATAGATTTTGTATCCCTCCTTTGACCCCCACAATGCCCACTGTTTTTTCTTTAATCTATTTTGTGATAATGCATGGCATGACTGACTACACACCTTTTGGGATAAAAATGTATCTAATATGAAAATAAATTAACAAAAAAATAGCTTACACCTGAGCAGATCCGAGAAGGAAGGGCTGAAAGTTGCCTTGTTTAATCGCTCATTTTCACCAAAAGTATTGAGCGGCTAATGCTACCAACGTCCATCCTTTATTTAAAATATTGATACAGCTAGACACATATCACTAAAATATGAATTGCATCTTGCTGCTATGAGGAACACTTTTCTGCGGCCTCACTTCAGAACCACAGATTTTGGTCGGGATACGTGGGAGGGATTAATAACGAATGCAGGCTTTTTCCAGCTGTAAAGCCCGAGGTTGGGTTTTAAATGTTTTATTCTTGTATATATTTTATTGTTACTCAAAGTCTCAAAAAGAAAAAAATCACTTTCACATCCCGGTGGATATTTGGACTGAGAGAAGTATTTTCACAGTGGGTTTGGCGTTTGTTAGCTGACATCGTGACTCATCATCTTCTCTCTTAACAAAGCTCGTGGCTAATGAGAAGCTAATGGGCTCCTTACCACTAATGTGATTACAGCAGCATCGTAATTTTGTGCATTATTTATTTACACCGCTGTTCACAAATGATTCAGTGTGACATATATTACATTATTAGAACAGTCAGTCATTATGGGAAGTTATCTTTGTAAAACGGGGGCATGGAGGATGAGACATTTGTCTGAATCTTTTAGACCTCATAAGTTCCCAGTCCTAGCAAAAACCCGCTAGAGTTAGAGTTTAATAACGCTTGGGTAAAAAATAAGAAGAAGAAGATTTGCCAAAACAGGAAAATGCCAGGAAATAAGGACAATTATAACAATAAAGTAAAAAAAAAAAAAAAAACAGATAAAAGAAACTGAAAAAAAACTTGGGGATTTCATTAAATACATATTATTTTTGACCATTCAGAATTAGAGTTGGACTCTTTCATTCATCATTTCATGTTATAGAATGTGAAATATAAGATTCAACAAATATTTAGGCTCAAAATGTTTTCTACCTATAACTCCCTTTGCAACCAAGTTGTTGTTTTTTTTTTTCTTAAATATTAACAGCTGCAAACATAGCATTTCACAAAAAATTTTTTTAGAAGTTGCAGAGTTACAAGTTTGTGCCAGAAGTTCCTGATATTAGCATGGATGGTTCTAAAAACATGGTGAGGAAACAATATTGTAATATGATTAAAGGCTCAAATAAGTCGACTTTGCCTAATACGTATCCTTTAGCTATAATCCAATCAGAATTAAATGCAAAGTCTGCTGTTATACTCTAAACTTCCGAATCGCATTCAATCTTTTAATGTTAAATTGTTTCCACAGCAGAACACATTATGCAGTTTCCTCTTCTTTGATGATGTTTTTTTAAGCAAATATTTGAAGGTCTTTTCTATCCCTTATTTTATTATTCATTATTCTGGCCGTATTAATTCAAACTTCTCTTTGTTTTATGGCCAAACATGCGCAGAGGAGTCCACTCACGTTTCAGTTCTGTAAATCACACTTAAATCTGTCAATGTTTAACCAAGATATTTTAGAATGACCTAAAACGAGAGCTCAAATACAGATTATTCTAGTGAGAACTGTAGATAAGACTGACGTTTTTCTTCTGCTGCTGCAAACTTTAGCAAGGGCCATTTTTGTCCAGACCACACTTCCCTATTAAATGTGACTCACCGTACTGATCCAGACATAATGAACTGCTTTCTGCTTATAGTGAAAAGGGGAAGCATTCAGCGCATTCTGTGAGAAAACTTCTGTAATGAACTAACTCCTGTCGGCAGCCTGCGTCTCTGCCGCACTGCA